GTTCTTCTCAAAATTGTCGTGAAGTTGCAAGCTACAAGAGACAAGAACTAGGAAGTGATTAGAAATCACAAATATTTTTCTTTTTCTTTTTAAATGAGTTGTCTTCGGAAAATAATAGAAATGAGATATTCGGTTTACTCCTATTTTTCTATCATCTACTATAAATTTATCGTTGTTCTACTTTCGCTGTTCATCATTTCATGTATTAGTTGAATTATCAACAGTTACTTAATATCCACAAAAGAAAGGACAAACATTGCTAATCTTGGAACAATGTTTGATCAAAGATACTTCTTAAAAGTTTCGAGGGCGTTTCAAAACAGGTTCCAGTCAATCGATCACTATTCCGTTCGTTAGGTCGATATAGCTATTATACAACATATTTTAGAGCTGTTTGATTTAGAGTACCATAGAGGAAGAAGAGTTAGTCCATGAAATTTTCTTCGTAATTTTCTCATTTGTTTTCATGGGAAAAGCTCGATATTAGTCAGGAGGATTGAGACGACTGTTCTCTACGCACTGATGAAAAAAGTTCCTGTTCGCCTTCCAGACATATTCAATGAGAATCGAGTAGTTTAACTGACTCCCTTTTCCCCATACCTAGAAAAAAGAGGTAATTCACTCATATGGATAGTAAAAAAAAGGTCCCTTACATGGGACTTCTCTAATGAACTAAAGTTCATTAACGATGAATGCTAATTAATTAAAATCTATGCCATTCTATAGCTGAACTCTTCCACTATCTATCCATATGAATTTGATCTTCATTTCTAATATCGTCATTAGGCTAATTAGACCACAATGAACCGTTACGTTTTCAGTTTTTTAATTTGGGATAAAAAGAGTCAATTCATAGTATTCATAGAAGAACGTCCACAGGCCTCCAGAGGTACATATGAACACGACTCCAAGTGTAAAAATTATTATTCAGCATTCCGTAATCTAGAACATATGTAAAAACTGCCATTTAACTGCGAAAAATAAGGACATTTTTTGATAAACTGAAAATTCTACGTAATTTTGCACATATTTTATTCGTAATTGAAGTCTTATTTTGAATTAGTAGCAAATGAATTAAATATGTTTGGTTCTTATTATGTAATACATTCTTCTGAATTCATAGCACGAAAAATAGTCTAAATATACAAAAAATTTCATTTTTCAAGCATTCTTTCCGAAATTAACAACAATATTTTTATATATTAAGAATATAACGACGCATTCATGACGAAAACAAAATAAAAAAAAAGACATTTTATGTACCCGAAACATAGTATCATAGTAAAACTAATTTAAGTGAGAAATCTTTCAGTTGATCGCTACTAATTAGAATATTGCTACAGGGGAAAAGTAGCAACATGATCTGGTATCATTTCCTACACAGAGCTGAGAATCATTGACTGACTGGTAGTTTTTGACAATGCTAAACTCTGTGAAAATGTGGAAATCATTAATCAACTATGTGGAGATCAAGTATATTTCAAAGCAAAGTCTGAAAAATATACAAATTATCTTTATTTTTTAGTCCTGTAAGGTTGGTTTCAAAGTTTTTGTTTATTTAATAGAACAGAATACAGAAAACGTTGCTTTTAAAACGGCAAAAAAACAATAAGAAGAATGTACAAAACATTTGATTTACTAAGTATATGCATATATTGTTAGAATAATTTGAACATTTTGTACAAGAGCAGATGATTGTGGTGTTGACTTAAGACGCATATTATCCAATATAATAATGTCAAATTCAGAATTTCACAAATGCTCCAGCAAAAATATCTTTTTGATCTAGAAAAAGAAAGTAGCACATTAGTTTTTTGACATAGCACACTTCAAAACAAAATAACAAGCAGTTGATCTGTGGTAAAAGTTTTGGACGCTACGAAAGCAAGACTTTTCTTTTAAAGTAAAAACAGTTATCTACTTGGTTTTTCTGTCACTTCTTTCTCGGAAAGGTCAATGAATATCCTTAACACGAAAATTAGAAAAGTTTTTCACAAAAAAATCACTTATTAGGCTAAGAAACGACTTTATTCCTGTAAAATGACGAAAACAAAACAAAAAGACATTTTGTACAGCAGAAACGTAGATTTTGAGACAGTCTTCTCTCACAGTTTATGGTAGTTAAAACGTTCGTCAGAGAAGGGTGCTAAGGTTTAAAATAATGACATCTCCGTGAGATTTCTTGTTAACTCTTACGAGATAGAAATTAAACACAGAGCGTACATCCGCAAGTTTCTCATCTAGTGCCCCCGCTATATTCGACATAAATCATTGTTTTGTTTAAGCTTAAACGAATTCTAGGTAAAAAAATACTTTTAAACGTCTGATTTTCCTTTGCCTTCAAAAGACACTCATGCACAGATAATAATGCCTTTTTGACACAATCATCTGTCAAAAATGCCGATGCCCTTATTATCTATCACTCAGTTTCCGTTCAAAACTTAAAAAGGATGAAGGCTAGGAGTTACTGATTTTATTTATACTCAGTGTTCGTCAGATGAACTAAAATAGTGTGACAGACATTAATCAGGTGAGCCCTGAGCGAAGTTTGATCGAAGCACTATACAGGGTGATCTGTGATATTCCCCTTCCAAAGACAGACAACTCGCTTTTTTTATACATAGGTCTAGGTTTGCTTTTCATCACTCACATTCGATACTTCTATCCATTCCTGTTAATGTACCTCAAATATCTATTGATCATCCTCTATTTTGTTGTACGATTGAAAAACGTGCTATTATACGAAATTCTGTTATTCTGCAAATTTTATGCACCGTTTAAATCAGAATTTCTCTTAATGACACTAGTAACCGCTGGTCGTTAGAAAATTGTTACGTATTCAAAAAAGGTACACATTATTGTGATACTAAGCCATATTCACATCCTTGTGTGGGCGCTATGTATTGATCATCAAACGGTTTGAAAGCAGGCCATATGACTGCATGTATTGTACAGACAGAACGCAAGAAAACAGTGTCTATATTGCCTCGGCAGGATGTGAATATGGCTCTTTGCATATAAACAATAATATCTAAAATCCAATTGACTAGCGATGTATACGATGGTAATTGATTACGACATAAATAGATTTGTTGTTTAAATCATTCATTTTAATTTGTTTTGAAACATTTTTTGTTGTTAAATTATTTCTTGTGCCAAATCTCCCATCACACTTCGTTAATTTCTCTAAATCATGTGTATGTTATACATCTAGAAAGAAAGAATAATAAAATTTCACAAGGTAGAAAACGAGCGAACTTGCCTAATGTTGCTAAATTTTTATATAATTCAGTATGAATCTGCGTCGACAAATGATGTAATATAATATTATAAGATTTGATCTGAAACAATAAATTGCGAAGATTCTAAATCTAAATATAAGGAGATGATTTAAACAGGATTATCCATATCACATACTTTAACAAACAAAAACAATTGATAAATATACATAAAAAAGATTATTTACGCATTATTTACACTTGATTTATATATTCTAAAAAACATTGAACAACTTTCTATAATCCTTTGTTACAAAAACATCATACTGGTTTGCTACTGGCAGTTCAGTACGCTTTTGACATCAGTTTCGAATGTTATCGTCAAAAAATATTCGCTTTTTTGTGAGAATATACATAAGACAAAATTTCGGTCGAGTTGAAATAGGCAATCATAAATGTCCACAAAAAATTCAACTTGAATACGTAAACACTATACCACGCATCATTTTCATTCATTCAAAAAGAAAGAAACTCGAAGTAATGTAATATTATCAGCAAGTATCTTGTATTACGTGTACGCATGTTTTAGGGACAGAAAATGGCAGTATATTTTCCATGAGCAGATAGCATTAGCGGTGTGATTGTTGTATTTTTCATACATTTACTTACCTATCATTAAAGTAACGTATTGACATCAATATTAAAATTTACATTTTGTGATAAGCTAATGTTTATACGTTCGTTTCATGAGTACGAATAATTGACTTCATATAACTGTGTATTCTCATTGGGCTTCTTATATATATGAACAAGTTCAGCTCCACAATCAATGATCCAATATTCAGGAACTTTGTTACCAGCGAAGATCGATAGTTTAATTTACACATCGTTTGCTAATGAACTTAAAGCCACTTCAATTAGTAACTAAATTTTATCAACTGTTGGAAATTTGTATTTATCATTTTGATCACCTTTGTCCAAAACACATATGTCCGGTTCTAATAAATGTGGTGGAATAGACACTGGATCTTCTTTTTTTATTGTAAAATGTTTATTTACATTATTATTGTATATCATAAAACAATGATATACAGATCATGTATAGAACAAAGAGTTTCGGATCGAAATTTTTGCCCTATAAACCAGCAAGACTGATTTTTGCTGAAAACGTTTATTTCTTCCTTAAAAGCATCGGACTAGGCAAAATTAGTTAAATATTGATGAAATAAATGATTTAAGAGCATATTCACCTGTTAGAAAAATGCATACTGTGGGTGGAGAGGATGATTCACTCCACCAACTTTTACTCGGAATATTTTTTATTTAGCCCACAGTTGAGTCTGACATTACATATAAAAAAAATGTCCACAATGGACAGCCCTGTTGCCATAATTGACTAAATAAAATGTTTTTAGTTTTTTAAATTGTATACACAAAAGACAGTGAAAATGAAAGTGACATAACGAATAGGATCGTAATGCAAATCTTTTGTTTTACAAATATTTACTTCTACTATCTACTTATTTATTTATTGACTACAATTTTACAACAACAATAACAGTCATTTATATTATAATAAACAGTCTTGAGTAACTGAAAAACAAAAAAAAAAGCATGTGAAAAAAACAAAAGGCACAAATATTTTGCTTAATTAAGACAAATACAAGAAAAAAGAAAACAACAAGAAACAAAGCAAAACAACAAAGATCTGACAAAATGATGGTAATCTAGACTAGACGAACGATAAGTCTTATATCTGACTAAGTGATATATAACATTCATTCATTCTAATTTCGGATAAACAGGTTTTGTCGAATCGATATGATGAACACCAACGACAGGTTCTACAGGATGAACAGGAAACAAAACAGGTTGAGGATATTGAGGTGGTGTTTGAACTGGTTGAACAATATCAACAATAACACTATCACCTTTCATTAAACCAACATCTTCAGGAATATCGCCCTCTAGAAAGAAATAACAACATTTTGCTATAAAATCTGTTTGTGTTATAAAAAAAAACGAAAATATTTTTATATCTTTTTGATAAGACATATGTATCCACGTCCATAAACTTCAAAAAAATTTTAAAAACCTATGCTTATGGATGGATGTAATGACAGATTTCTACTATCAATGAATTCTAAATAATCAGACAATATAGCAGTCGATAAGATGAAAGACAAAAGGATAATCTATTATAATCGTCAAGCGAGTTTGATAGTGCATAGTATTGGTGAAAAAGAACCGGTACTCATACTCAAAATCAAAAATGTTTTGCTCATAGGGATAGGTCATAATTGGTATAACCGTAAATGTCTATTTTTAACAAACTAAAATCAATAATCTTCATACTTGTTTTTGTTTCTTTCTTTACTCCTCTAAATCGATGATATATGGCTGTACATGCTGCACGACAACAGCAACAGATGACAACTAAATATAAATAAAGAGTGTGAGAGAGAAGAAAAAAATAAGATAAAACTTTGACACGAGTTTTTTCTACGTACCGATTGACGTTGTACACATGATGAATACAACAGCTAATATACCCAAAATGATAACGACAAATGAAACGCCAGGTGAATGACGAGCTAGAAAAATATATACATAAAATATTGACAAATAAAATGGCGTACAAAGTAACATACGTCCACATGTTCTTTCATCATCTCCACTTGGACATTGAACCGTTTTGTCACATTTGAGTGAACGATGTAAACATGCGTTTGGATAATCATTTGGACATTGAAAATAAACGTCTTTATCATTACATGGCGCTGAAATAAAACAGAAAAAAAAAATAACGTAACTGTTATACTCTAAAAATCTAGAATATTGCTAAAGATTGAATATTATTAAGGAAAAGATTATTCTTAAGTTATTCACTTTCTAAATTCTTTTATTTTAATAGCTTTCCCTAAATGACTTGATTTATCCAACTTCATCGTTGTAGATCATGAGTAGACATATGTATGAACAAGATTTTTTTATCACAGTATCACAGACACAGTGATTACAAAAAATCTTTTGATCGATTATATGAAAAGAAATGAGAGTTAACTGCCATACGAAAAAGTAACGATATTACAGATAAGGTGTATACTCGAAGCTCTTTAGAAAAATTATTCTTTTCATTTTCTGTCATGATCAAAGTTGCCAGATGGTCCGCAGTTGCGAAAAAATTTCGTTTTTTTTAGCTTTTTTCGCAGTGTCCGCTTTTCGAGGATCTTTTGTTTTTTTTGTCCTTTTTCCTGAAATGAAGATCTTTACACTTTCTCATCAAAACTTTTGTCGCCTTCGATGGATGAATGACTTGTCAAAACAATGCTTTTTTAACTTTTATAAAACAGATGCGCACTGTTTTAGGAACTAAATCAGAACTTTGCACCGGAAGTGAGCGGTAACAGAAAAACATTAGGTTGTCTCAAGTGTTGCTGAAAGGGAGTGTGAAAAAAGTGAAATACTAAATCTTCAAGGAAACCAATTTGGTTAGAAAATATTAACCATTAAATGCTGTCGTAGGTAGGAAAGTTTCGAATTGAATTTTATCCTGTCATACATAACTCCTGAAATTTATGACGGTTGATCGAAAACGCGCATCTACAAAAAGCCAATACCAATTTAAATTGGGATTTCAATGATGTTTTGTACGAGTTTTGTATTTCTTAAGTGAAACTACCATAAAGCGTTAGAAAAAATTTTTTTGATATCCTTTGCGTTTGGGGAAAATACGGTAAAAAAATGCGTTTCCGTTTTTCTTCCACATTTTGGAAAAAATTACCGCTTTTTCGACTTTTTATTCCGCTTTTCTGACCTAAGCATTTGGTAACTGTGATCATAATACATGAAAAGCGCAACTTGACGAAAAACTATTTGCCTTTCTGACTTCTCTTATACAAAAGTTTATGATTTATTTTTAATGACAGTCATACACATCTCTAATTATGAGACAGTTACCTTTAGCTAATACCACAACTTGTACTTTTGCTGTCTTTTTCGTATTATCATTATGCTCATTATTTCGATTAAATATGACTTGTAGTCTTTCACAAGGAAATATTTGGTTACTCTGCGATGTGTGACACGTATAGAGAGATGCCGATATATTGAGTTTATCCAAACATTTGATTTGTACCGATGAACCACAATCCATAGATGGACGAAGAAACGTTCCATATCCCAAATGTTTCTGTTTACTAAACGGTGAACGAATTTCGACTGTACATGAGTCACGAAGTGATGGATGGAAGCTGAGCAATGGATTAAGTTTTGATGTAACATTTAAATTGACACAATCATCATCAGTACGAATGTCAACTAGAAAAACACAAACAGATAAACAATAAGTAGCAGACATTTTTGAATCATTTTCAAGTAATAAGTGTAGATTTGCAACATTTTTAAGAAACTAACGTAGGCCACACTTATTTGTTGCATGAGAAAAAATTCAGCAGTTCTTGACGTTTATCAAGCAACTGTAAACAGAGCAGTATTGGTTAAACACCAGTCGATGTACAAGGTGCGTAAAAATGTTTTTCTATGGTGGTAACGCTATAATTGCGAATAGGGTAAGTAATGAATTTTATACCAGATGAAAGCCCGTCGAAAACGGGATTTATTGATGCTAAATAGTAAGTTTTATCAAAGCATTTTAGTGTCGAACTTAAGAAA